AGTATTAGGGACACCTTGCTCATAATGGGTCGGCCCCTCTTTTGCCTTCAACAAACCAGTTTGAGAAGGTCTGAGCTTTGTGACACGGACTGTGCTGGAAGCAGTCATCGGAAGATGGGCACACTGTGGTGATCCATAAATGGATGGACATTGTCAGCTTTCGCTCAGGAAGTAGAGCATGTCATCTACAAACTGGGAGGTTGGTGGTTTGATCCTCGGCTGCTTCAGTTTGCATGCCAAATATCCCTAGGCAAGATACTAACACCAAGTTGCTCTCTGATGCATCTGTTGGAGTATGAATGTTAGATAAAAAGCACTTAGAATAAAAAAGTGTTATATATTTTTAGGTAGCATATTTGTGTTTATTTTGGACCATTCTCTCCAAACTCTAATTGGAAAACCACATCATTTTCTAAAATATTCAGAGCAGCCTGTCCGGCCCCAGCAACCATGCCACATTTAAATAACTGAAAATTCAAAAATAATTTAAATAACCTTCCTTGCTCATTCAGATGCTAGCTTCAACTTCAGCTGGTCATCTAAACCACGTTTACACACCTAAACCTACAGTTCTTCTGCCATATGATTGGCTGGTATAGATGTTCGAATTTAAGAGCGGTTGAACAAACGTGCCTAGCAGTGGCTGATGAGAGGATGAGAGAGGAGACAGCAGAGCCTATGACCTTACTTAAAGGTGGTCCAACTCATCAGGAGTCAACAGGCGTTTAAGTTACGAACAATAGCAGCATTTATAACAACAAATGACTCTCCAACCTGCCTGGAGCCAGCAGTGTCCCACTTCACATAACCCGGGATCCAGATTTAACTGTTCTTGACCTTTTTACTTTGAGCAGCTGATGAATTGTGCAGCTCCATGACAAAGCCCTGCTTGGCTACGCCAGTCTCATATTGTCTGATACATCACTACAAAACACAGGCAAAAGACAATGGAGGGTCACTGCAAAGGGCTTGAAATAATCATAACAATGACAGCTTCCATATTTATAGTTGCAAAGAGACTCCCAACTGCAGCGCCTAAGTGCTTTGTTATTAACAGGAAGAGCGGCTCCCCATGAAGAATAAACAATACTCCTCTTTACTGGGTGAGTCATGACAGAAGGTTTCATGGTCTGCTGCTATGCACTGAGGCTACAAATGTCCACTAGCTATAGCGCAGAAACATTGCTACATTTATATAAAACAAACAAAGAGTAAAACAGCAAATTATTATTACTGTTTTTGCTCTGATAGTTTGCTCTGAATAAGAAAACTGAGAGAGGAATCTATCAGAAAATGCCTTTCTAAGCATCAGTAGCCAGACTGAGATCACTGGGTCATCTTGCATCTGCACAGCTCTTCCTGAGTGAAACTGGGGGTGTTCAAAAAAGAGGCCACAAAAACAGGGAGACAAAAGGGGAATAAGGGACAGCGGCAGATAGGAAGTCAATTTTTCATCAAGGGTGATGACAGCAGCTGAGGGTCGAAGTGTGGACAATCTCCCACCCAGGCATAATGAAAGGTCTTTTGTGCATCATTTGATAAGAATGGGTGGTACTGGACGATAATGTGTATAATGACACCACACCACACCCCACCTTGGGTCATGTGATGAGGCACATTATCAATAACAGGTCAACGATTTGGTCTTGGAACTGAAGAAGCTTCTCAAATGAGAGTTAAGAAATATCTTGAAGAAACTTAAAGAAGTCCAGTCGCTTTTCTTGACCATGACATGGATGACTGACAACCTACACAGACATACGTGCTTCTGGATTGTTTGCTATCAGGTCACCCGGATGAGCAGGAAGAAAATCGGTGAGGGAACTCAGATTAGGGCCTGAACAATAGCTAGAAGTGCAGCTTCACTACAGATCCGAGCATATAATGAAAAACCGGAAACAGCACGTTTCAAAGTGAGTACGTTAGAATGAGGGCAAGGAAATGCTACATCACTATGCACGCCTCGGTATTTTCTGATGTTTTCATATGTGGTGCTCAGCTTGCGTGCAAGGAACAAACTAGGGCCTTGTGGTTTTGATCATACTTCAACAAAAAAGGTGTCACCAAATGTTCACAAACACACTGCACCAAGGTGGCAGGTTACAAAAGTGATATGAAATCACTGTAGATAGTTGCCCTTCTCGGTGTATGTTTTAGTCAAACCACTGAGTCACAGCAGCAGACACACTATTTTCACAATGACCTCACAAACCCAATCTTAAGTGCAGGAGTTTTGAACAATTTATTTAAACAGCTTTTTTATTTCTTTTTTTTTTCTGGCACATTTATACAGCAGACATGTCTGTTGGAGACAGCACATACGTCCTTCCTGCAAGAGGAAACCTCTGTTCATGTTCATTTCCTTTTGCACCAGTAGTTAAATGAGGTGGACAAATCAGGTATACCTGGCACTTGCAAACAAACAATGCTTTATTGTTTAGATTTCTTTGAAACTCTGGTTTTAAATGCAATTTTTGTTTTAATATTATAAAAAATTATACTGGCAAAAAACTTTTAAAAAATGAAATAATTTATAAGGAAATTTGAATACAGCAGGTAGAGGACACACTTACATGGCATGAGAAAAGAGACTGCAGTAACTTACAAGTGATTCAATGCAGTGTAGAGAATCATATCTCGTTGCTGCAAAAGTAGGTGCTCTTTTCATTGTTCAAACGTGAACATTTTTCGGGATTGTTTATATCCTTTTGCAGTGTTTCACATATTTCTTGAAGGCTGTTCCTCCTTTTCCCCAGACATTATTTCTTGCTTCAGGGCCTGTGTTAGTCTACCTTCCTCTTTTAAATACTGAATAATAATAATCTGATATGTATGGAAGTTAGGCAAGATACTTGCCCAATTTCACTTTTTTCTTCTTCCTTAAAACCTCTTGTGTGGCATTGGCAGCTTGCACTTGATCATAATCAGGCTCGGATATTTTTGTGGATATCTTTGTGGATATTTTTTTAAAAGACATGATTTAAGATGCAATCTCTGATCTATCCAACACCTTGAATGAATGCCTGTATTATTGCTCCCCTCACGTCCATACTTGACTAACTGGGCTATTATTTCCCTGTGTGAAGCCTGGCCAGGTTCCTGCCAAACATGTTTTTTATTTCCACTGAAGAAAGTTTTGTTTGCTTATAGCAAAGCTCAATTTTCCAGATGTTTTTCCAAGCAATATTGTACATGTAATTCACTGGTTGTAAATTTTACTTTATGTGCATTACCACTGCTGCACTAATGAGCGGTACATTTACTTCACCTCCTTAGTATTGCTGCAACTTTGCTTCCCCTCTTGACTGATTTCTAGTTAGTCACTGATCCTCGTGCATCCTGTCTTTGTGATATCACTCATGTGAGATTAACTGGAAGTCATAGGTTTGCTCACCTTAGTTTCAGTAAACTGAAGTAAACTGAAGCTAAGCAAGTGATCATTTGCTGCAAACCTCTGAGTTTCAGTCTGAGTTCAGTCTTTGTACTCATATTGGATGTTCATAAGGAAATACCTATATTATATTTATAGCTATTACTGTTAATCCTAAATTCTCAGAGGTGGCAGAAGTTCAAACAGCCAGTATAAACTCTTTTAGACAAATTCATACACCTCCAACCCCTCAGTTTATAAGACCAATACATAAAGACACTTCCCGGTTCATCATGGCCATTGGTGGGAGACCCTTCTATCTGCAGGACACAGACCATGATGAAGTTGTAGCTCTGCTATGATGCATCACATTACATGTATCTTTTCCAAACATGCACATCTATGCTATGGAGGTGCTTTTTTTTCTATTTCTAAAAAGCAGGGGGGAGGGGGGTGTACTGTGAGCACTGGAGAGGGGATTCATTGTGCCCTCGTGATAAGGGTTGAGCTTCCTCAGTGAAACACATCGTGGGCAGATATCTGGTAAAAGATACCACGGAGCGCTCATGTCAGCCACTAGGAGTTCTAAGTTACTGAAAGAACTTTAGCAGCTGGATAATCCAGCTCTGGTGTGACTGTTGGTGAATCATTGTGGTTTTGTTGACTCAATGGGCTGTAGTATCCCTATCCTGCTCAGCCCAAACTGTAATGGGCAAGGCTTGGGTTAAGTCTGTCTGTAGCCAAACATGTGGCTGTTCTATTGTCTGGTCCTATTCCGTCAGGCTTCTCATTTGGCAAACCAAATACAGTAACATGTTCCACTTGCTCCTTTGTATTTATAACGTCTTTATGCAGCATGGGGACTCACTGATTTATTTCACTGCCACTGCTAATTAGAAGCTTAATCACATCTGAAACAATGGTTATCATTTTGTATTTTCTAATTAGTTTTTATTTTTATTTCATTTTTGACTTTTTGTTTTCACTTCAGTTTAGATTTAGTATCCAGAGTGGGTTTGCTCGTTTCAGTTTGGGTTTTGTTTTGTTTGAAAATTGCTTCTTTTTTTTGGTCAGTGTTAAGATAAGTAGTATTATTGTATGGAGTGCATATGTCAGAGGTAAACTGAGGAAAATCAGCACGGGGATTTAAAAAAAAAACACTTTATGAAAGCAGTTGACAGACATCTTATAAGAATACAAAATCTCAATAAACAAGTCCATCAAAGCCTCATCAGGGGAACTGATAACAAATTTTACCAAACAAAGAAAGTCTGAAACTAAAGCTATTTTCTACATATTTTCCCATATTTTATTTTATTTTGGTTAGTCTTCTAAGTTCACAAAACCATTTCAGTTATTTTTTTCTTTTCCCATAAGTCTGGTTTTTAATCTTATTTTGTTACCTAAACACATTTTTTCACATCTAATTTTAGTTTTTAGTTTATTTTACCAAACTTTAATTACCCTGATCTGAACCACACGATAGCGTTTCCCATTCCACACAATGGGATCCCAAAGGGATTCCAACTCCACCTAGTGGTACATAAACCAAATAGAGTGCAGGAAGGATGGGCCCTGTAAGCACTCACTAGAAAATGAAAAAACAACAAAGCAGCTGAAAATACCAGATATGTGGTTTGTTTAGTCACAAGAATAAAAGCCATATAACAGCAACAAGATGTTTAGTCTGCTTTTGATATCGCAAAAGAAACAGACTTCAAAAGGTGCAGGCGGGCTCAAATTGGTGCGACTGCATGGAGACATAACCTTTCTGACTCTAATATTTCCTGTTTTCCGAACAAGCCAAACAGAAGCTTCCCAGTGGCCTCAAATTGCAAGGAATGTTTATCACTGCTAACCTGAGGCGAACACAACTTATTAAACAGAGCACACAAAACTTCCAAACATCTTTATGTGCACAAGGTTTTCTGACAGCAAGCTGAAAAATAAACACAGTTAAAATTTTAGTGTGTTGTTGCAGCATTTAAAAGTTAACCTTTCCTTTTTTACAGGCTCAGAAGGAAAAAAGGTCTTAGTGTTCCAAAAATATTTTCTCAGCTTCATCCATCCAGTCACATGGAGATTCCTCTTCAAAGTCCCTGCAGTGAGAGGACCAACAAAGTCAACACAATTTAAGAACTATACTTTCATTCAGTATCCTTCCCATTTCAGTCTTTTTCTCACCCTGTTCACATTAAAATCAATTAAAACACTGCTGTAACTATTTCCCTTTATGTCCAGATGCTGTACAACATCATCTAATATGCTCTGCATTAATGCTGGGATATTAAACAACAATATGTCAGGGTTACTTACGTGTCTTCATCATCAGAGCGTGGCTGCAGTCGGTCCTCGTCTATAACCAGCTCTTGTTCGGGCCCATCCGTGTCATCACCCTGAGGATGGGAGAGTGGTCCCAACAGAGGGTCTTCACCTGAACAACACCACAATGATGAACACATTAAAGATTTCAGTTGGGCTATCTACAGCTTATATTGAGATAAGAGTCTGCTCACAGATCAGCAGACCTCTGTTTATTATGAAGGTGCTGGAGGCTTTGCTCAGCTGAGCCTTCTCCAGCAGACTCAGAAGCCTCTCAGGAGGATTCCTTTCCCATCGTCTTCTCTGCCTGCTGTCCTCTGGCTCCCCTGCAACAGAATGCTTTGGTTTGGCATTTCAGTCTCCACCGCTTATTTTTGCACCTTTCAGGAAATGAAATTCTGCTGCTACCATACCTTCATGAGTAGAGCTAGTGAAGGTCCAGCCAGTTGATGTCACGCTGTCAGATGAAACCAGACTGGCATTAGCTAACACCTGCAGCACGGTGTCTGATGGCTCAGTAGACCACTGCTTTCGAGGGGCGGGGTCTCTGCTTTCGAAGCAGCTTTTTGATAAGTCCATACCTGATTTAAAGGGTTATTTAGGACACATTTTGATGACAAACCGTACAGTCTTAAGAACAAATTCAGTAATGTAACCCTGCCAGCAGTGCAACAGTAGATCATTTTCTTCAACATAACATTGTTAGCTTTGACTCCACCTTCAGATGTTGATGTTTTTATTAAACTCTTCTCTCCCAGAAGACGAGCCACATTCTTTCCCTCCTCTCTGTTCCATCGACCTGTATGCCTCGCCTGCTCCTCCCTCTCTGAGGCCTGTAAAAGATTCAAAACACCGCCCTGAATCAAATGCACAGCACGAGCTCTGCGGCCATCTGAACAAACAAAGGGTCCACATTGGATTACCACAGCTGGCAAAGTTGCGTAAGAGTTTAAATTCTCATGCTACCATTAGGTCAAAACAGCAAGTGACTGTGATGAATGTGCAGCCCTAAAATCAGGTTCAACATACTGATTTTCCCTGGGAGGGCAGGTGTGTACGCAAGAGTTTAGAAACCCTGTGAGAGGTCAGGATGGTGTGCAGGGACGGTCTGTCTTTCGGGTTTGTCTTGAACATCTGCTTGACCAAGTACTGCAACTCATAAGGAAGATGACTGGGGAGGGGAGGGTATGCACCCCGGCACACCTTAAGAATCAGACTCTTCCAGCTGGATGCCTGGAACTGGACACAGGAGAAAAGCGTGAAGACACAACAAACCACACTGTGCATGAAGTGTGGAGGAGGGAGTACCGGGTGTCGCAGGGTGCAGAGCTCGTACAGGACGCAGCCTAGAGACCACACATCACTGCAGAACACACAAAGGGAGAAATGGTTATTCATTCACACCAGACATTTCATCATGTACTGGCAGAGTCAGAGAGAACTGGTTAACCCATGCATGAGTTACACAATCACTGCCGAGCCCCTTTAGTCAGAGAACTCAAACTAAATCAGAGACTGAAAATAACATGTAAATGTATGCTGTCAGGGGAAAAAAGCCTGCAGAGAGACTCTAAGCCGGGGGTTCTCAAAGTTTTAATGACTTAGTCCCACTTTAAGAAGCCAGAATATGACTTAACTTTTAGTTAGTCTTTGCACTGTCTCTCTACAGAGGATGACAGTGTTTTATGTTGCTATTTCTTCATTTTATTCAGTCACTTTTTGTTCTGGTACATAGTTGTTATTCATGTATTACTCAAGTGAGTGTTACAGTGCTTGATGCTAGCTGTATACGTCAGTGTTAGGAATGTTCAGTCGGCTATGATGGCAAGAACAGAAGAGTTGGGTTTGAAAAGAGATGATCCCTTGGTATCATTCTGCCCTGCTCTATCGTAACACGACATGAAGTGTGGCTGAATGAAATGTGCAGCGGCAGACTCGAGGGCCACTCGAGGGCTAGCACTTGGTGATCCAAGTCCTTTAAGATCTCTGGATATTTTTGTAGTGCAGATTTCACACATACTTTCAATAACTACTGTAGGCATTCCAATGAACTATAATTATCACATACAGTAATTCCGCATATACGCACAAATATGTACACACACTCTGCAGGTGCTCTACTGTCACCATAGTTTGACCAGATTTGGTTCTGGCATGTCCCTTTTTAAAAATAAAAACCACACAGTTGGTTAAACAGATGTATGTACAGTCATGGCACAAAGTTGATTTTTCAGATTTTCTTTAGATTATTTTTACATGTTTTTTTTTGATATTGTGAATAACACAAGGGTTCTGTGAGATTCAAAACATTTTTATTGGCAAACAAATAAAAATTTAGTATGGGCAGTGACAGCACTGCCAACAATTTTTGCACACAACTGTAGACTATTCTAGCATAGGTTCCTGTTTCTTTTCTCATCGATCTAGTTACTGTTAATCCGTATTCACAAATTTTATTCATGTAGAAAACATGCCCAGAAACTCTTGTTAGCACATTTTAGTCAATTCATACACTCACTGGCTATTTTAGTGGGTACATGACGGCCTGCTGAAAACGGGAATCAAAATGGGGAAGAAAGGAGATTTAAATGTAAATGTGGCACGTTAGCGCCAGACAGACTATACTGTATATTTTAAAAACTGCTGATCTGCTGGGATTTTTCTGACACAACTACCTCTGGGTTTACAGAGAATAGTCAGAAAAAAGAGAAAATATCTAGCAAGCATAATTTCCTTGGGTCAGAATGACTTATTGATGCCAGAGGTCAGAGGAGAATGGCCAGACTGCTTTGAGCTGATAGGAAGGCAACAGTAAATCAAATAATCACTTACTACAACCAAAGTATGCTGAACAGGATCTCTGAACGTGGAAAATGTTGAACATGAAAATGCTGCGCCACAGCAGGAGAATAAATACACCGAGTGCCACTCTTGTCAGCAAAAAACAGGAAACCGAGGCCACAATTCACACCAAAATTGAACAACATAGATTAGGAAAATATCGTGCGGTCTTACAAGTCTCAATTTCTGCTGCCACATTTGGATGGCATGATCTGAATCTGGCATGAGCAGCATGAAAACATGCTAATCTCCTGTTCAGCAGCATGCTGAGCAGGAGATTTGCAGCACATGTGTTCAGTTGGCAAATCTGCAGCAACTGTGTTGCTATCATGTTAATATGGACAAAAACTTTGAGAAATCTTTCCACCCTCCTATTGAATTAAAGCAGTTCTGAGGGTAAAAGGGGTTCTAACCCAGTCATAGCAAGCTGTACCTAATGAAGTGGTTGGTGAGTGTATATTTACATTTCTGCTTTTAACATTTCTTGTTACAATGACACACATTTTCTAAGCACAGACACTGATCTATGGAGAAGAAACATACTTTCATCTTTATATTGTTTAATATAAACCGGAGGATCCAGCCGAACGCTTACAGTAGCATACCTCTTATTGTTGTACGGCTTATTGTCCCAGATTTCTGGTGCCACATAATACGGAGTTCCAACATATGCATGAGCGTAAGCCTTCGAGCTGGAACAAATTTACAATCAAATTTAAAATCGACAAACTCAACATTAACTTTAAAAAGCTGAACAGCATCAGGTTCTTTACCTGTTCAAAATACAGGCTGAGCCAAAGTCTCCAAGCTTGACTGTCCCATTATCGGTCAGGAAAATGTTCTGGGTGAGGATGAAAGATAAGTGATGATTTAACATGACACAAGATATAAGTACAGCCAATTATGGCAAAATGAGATTATATCACATAGATGGGTTGTAATGTTTCTGATCTGGATCAGCAGTTTCATTTTTGTTCATTTCATTCAACACACAACCAAGCAAAATGATTCCGATTTGGATTCAATTGTGCTTGCCTGACATGAAATTCACTGATCCACACCACCGGGATATACAGCAACGACACTGGAATGTCATTCGGGCTGGAGAAGTGTACTCAGATGGTAACAAAGACTGGGAAGGTAGTCAGAATTGAGGGAATCACACTACCAGATGGCAACACTGCAGACATAGAGGACAGCTACAAGTATCTGGGGATCCCACAGGCAAATGTTTATCCATGAAGAGGCTGCTAGGAAAGCTGCAACCATGAAGTACCCGCAGAGAGTCAGACAAGTCCTGAGAAATCAGCAGAACAATAAGAACAAGATCCGGGCTATCAACACCTACGCTCCGCCCGTGAGCAGGTACCTTGCTGGGATAATAACCTGGCCAAAGGAGAAGATAGAAGCCACTGACATCAAAACCAGGAAGCTCCCCACCATGCATGGAGGATTCACCCCAAGTCCAGCACCCTGAGGCTATACGCTAAGCGGAAGGAAGGAGGCCGGGGAATGGTGAGTGTCAGTACCACAATCCAGGATGAGACAATGAACATCCACAAATACATCAGGAAGATGGCCCCAACTCACCACGTGCTCAGTGAATACCAGGCAGCAGAAACCCAAGAAAAGGAGGAAGAAGAGGAACCACCATGGAAGGATAGGCCCCTGCACGGTATGTACCAGAGGCAGATAGAGGAAGTGGCTGACATCCAGAAGTCCTACAAGTGGCTGAACAAAGCTGGACTGAAAGCAGCATAGAGGCACTAATCATGGCAGCACAGGAACAAGCTCTGAGTACAAGATCCATAGAGGCTGGGGTCTATCACACCAGGCAAGACCCCAGGTGCAGGCTGTGTAAAGATGCCCCAGAGACAATCCAGCACATAACAGCAGGGTGCAAGATGCTAGCAGGCAAGGCATACATGGAACGCCATATCCAAGTGGCTGGCATAGTGTACAGAAACATCTGTGCCGAATATGGCCTGGAAGTTCCGAGGTCAAAATCGGACACGCCGCCTAGGGCGAGCTAAGATCCTGTGGGACTTCCAGATACAGACGGACAAAATGGCAGTAACATCAGGAAGAAGGAACACAAGAAGCTAGAGAAGTAGCACGGGGTCAGAGAAGAGCTCAAGAAGATGAGAAGGGTGAAGGTAACAGTGGTCCAAGTGGTAATCGGAGGACTAGGTGCAGTGACTCCTAAGCACAGTCACTGTCTATAGGTCTGATGCATATTTTTTACACACTGGGCTAAAATATGCTGATCATGGATATCTTTTTTTATAATGTAATTTAGCTGAAATCTGGAATTACAGAGCTGAATTTGTTCAGTAAATGCTACCGAGTGACATGAGTGTTCAGACTGAGAGAACTGAGAGAACAAACATAGGAAATCTGATTCTCCTCTCTATGTTGAAGGCAGGTTTGACCTGAATGAACCAGAAGACACATTCATTAATGTACCCTGAACAAAGTAAAATGCATAAGCTAGAAAACCTAGACGTGACTGTACCTTGGATTTCAGATCTCTGTGCAGAACTCGCTGATCATGGATATGCTTTGCACCTGCGCACATTTCAGCGAACCACTTCAAGATCTGAAAAAAGAATTTAAAAACCCAATGAAACACAAGTAGGGAAGGGTAATTGTGATCATGAGTGCAGGAAGTCAGGACGTACATTATCAACACTGAACTGGTTTGACTTCTGTTGCTTAATCCTCTGGAGCAGATCTCCTCCGCTGCAGTACTCCATAACAATCCACAGGAGTTCATCAGCTAAACAAACACAATCACACTTGGTATTTTGAAATCCAAACAATCATAACTGTATGCTCATAAAAGGTTTGTAATGACTTTTAAAGCGAGTGATATTCGTGTGTACGATTACCCTCGAATGCCTCCCTGAAAGCCACAATATTAGGATGTTTCATTCTGGACAGCAGGATGGCTTCCCTCCTCGAATTCTCCAGTTTGGACTGATTCTATAAAAATGCAAATGAAAACATGATTGTTTTCCATACAGCGCGAAACAAAACAAACAAACAAAGGCAGGCTGACAACAAACAGCTTCCATGTCTCAGTGTAAGCAGCAATCTGGCAGGTTATCAGCAAGGCGCAAAAAACTAAACTAGACTCAAATAAAATAAAAAATTTCCATATCCGACCCCAGGCTGCAACATCACGCCTGGAATTCCAACAAGTCTTATTTTACTTGAATATTTTATAATCATCACAGTTTCGGGGGAAGATTTGAATCAGACTGATCCGTTTGCTCCAAACAGGTGAGGACATTCCCTCCTTTCCTTGCACATACCTTTGGCAGCTGAATCTCCTTCACCACATATTTTTCCTGACTGCTTTTACACCGCACTAACACGGCCCGGCCAAACGAGCCTTCACCGATCACTTTAACAAGTGAGTATTTCTCCATCGATCTTCTCCACATAAAAGACAAAGAGGGAAAGAGAAAGAGCACACTGGGGGAAATAACTACAGCGGGATGAGCCGATGGAGCCGACCCTTCACATCACTGCTTTTTTTTAAGCCGCGTGTGTTCGTACAGGGATTTTTTTTACAATACATACAGAAGAATACCGTCCCAAAATAACCTCCACCTAGACTAGTGCGGTTTATCTGGCCACTACTTCCTTATTATTATATGACGTAGGGCGAGGCGCCACTGTGCTACCCAGCGTGACCGCTAGATGGCAGAACACAACCTCGAAAACAGACTAATAGTTTCATATGTCGTGCAGTGATATTGTAAAAGCATTGTAACAAATATAGCAGTAGTTTTTTTTAATTTTACATTATGCATTTTCTTAACCTTGTATTATATGGTATTATGATTCTATATTATATTTGTATTTGAGAAAAAATATTCTTAACTAATAAAAAGTGATGTAAATAGCTGAACAGCCATGTAATAATAACTCTTTGAATACCAACACTTGTTTCCTCGACATCATATAGACTTCCATGGAAATATTAATTAATTAATTAATTAATCAAATAAAGTGCTGGGACCCAGTTAGGTACTGATAGTGAGGCAGACAGCTTTACTTGTGAATCACAAGCATATTAAGCTGAAGTAAAACACATGTGTGTGCGTGCAGGGTAATGACATGGAAGAAGAGGTCCGCAATGAATTAATGGAAATGAAACAGACTGTCACTATTCATCATAATGAAACGACTGGTTTGATATAATAGTTCTGATCAGGTAACTGAAGTTTTTGAGTTTAACCCCTCAAGCAAGCAAGTCCACCATAAATGATCCTGATTTTCATTTCTTAGCAAATGCAATACAAAAAAACTGGCAACCAACCAACAAAAATGACTACAAAAACACATTAAATGTTAATAATCATGACTTTGCCCCCCCCCTTTTTTTTTTTTTTAACGAAAACGCTTATTTGAAGGTAGGTAGGTATTTGGGGAGGACAGGGGCCTGTTTACTACTATGTTACATCATCCCTCCTTTTGACAACATGCAGTAAGGCTCTGAGCTGCGGTGGCCAGTTGTGTTCTAGTTTTGAAAGTGAAATCTTTTCCTATTCTTCCTATTTCAGTTTCTCAACAGTTCAACGGCATGCTTGTGTCATATCTTTTTGTTTCATTATGCATCAAATGATCACAGTGGGTGACGGGTCTGGACTGCAGGCAGGCCAGCTGAGACTTGAAGTCTTTCACCACAGAGACATGCTGCTGTTATATGTGGAGAATGTAATTTGGCATTGCCTTGCTGAAATAAGCAAACCTGTTGCTGAAAATGGTGGAATTGTTTGGCAATAGTGATTTATCATTATGTCACTGCATCCCAGTACCAGGTGGTAGCAAGCTGAATGGGACCTCCACTTTGCGTGTGTTTGAGCTGTAGAAGGAAGCCAGAATCACAGACGAGAGGAAAACATGCAAAGTCCAGACAGAAAGACCCCAGCAAGATGGATTCAAACCCAGGACCTTCTTTGCTTTGAGGCAGTAATTCCAAATACAATTAATATTGACAGTAGATATTGGATAGTTTCCACTGCGCAGCTGTCAGTCTTCAGTGTAGCGCTGCCTCAGGATATGAAGCTGTGAAGATTTTTATTATTATTTATTTATTTATTTGAGCGTTTTTGGCATTCGCCTGCAGAGATATTTTTTTTCAGATTCTCTTAATCCTTTAATGATATTATGTGCCACAGATAAGGAATTATTTGCCATTTTCCCATTTCTACTTGATAATATTACAGTCACATTGTTGCATTGTTCCTTATGCTGAATTCACAGGCTGGTGAAGCACCCCCCTCCTAGCTTTACTTCTAAAAGACTTGACGTCTGTATGATTTTTTACACCCAGCCATGTTTCTAATTAACCTTGTTAGTTGTGAGATATTCCACCGGATGTCAGATTCTTTATACAAAACAATGCAATCCATCATTTTTACTTGTTTACACTCATGTACATAAGCTATAAAAGTCTAAATATAAGATCCTGCCAGTACAGCGTTTTGAAATCAGTCTACAGAGCATCACACCAGCTTAAGCATCCATGTGAGAGTCTGCTAATTAACTTCCATATCAGATGGCAATGAATGAACTGGTGTGTAAATGTGTAAATTGTGCAAGGAAAGAAAGTGTCATTTGTAGCTCAGGAGTTGGAAGTTGAGCACACACCTCTGCTGTGCTTTAATGATCAGCAGAATCCCCCAAACAGCATCTTCTGCGTTTACCATAGAACCACAAATTATTTGTTTCATTACCTTCTGATATGCTTCCCCCTCTTTGGTATCGCTCTGGTTGCACCTATTAGCAAATAGCTGATCCTCCTCAGGAGGAAAATAAAGACAATTACGAATTATGGTCCGACAGTTTGTTTACAGCTTCTGGATTATGCTGCACAAGCTGTTTGGGGAAATGTGATGGACATTTTCCCTTATTTTGGCACATATAATGATGTCTCATTTAGTCTGGAAAGAAGCCCTGACAAACTCTCAGTAGAGCCTATACTGATAAATGGTTGGGGGACTATATGCAGCATGGAAGAGCTATCTCTTTATGACAAGCTGTTAACTTTGCATTACAGAATTTAAAGGTAAATCAGAAAACCGATGAAGTTCAGCCTCTTGCTGGTGATTTCATCTACTTCCACAGAATAGTGTTTCTCCAATAAAACTAAAAACATGCTTTAAATACAAAGTTTGTTGGCCACCAGAGGACCAAACTGTAAAAGGTTATGTTTTTCTCTGACAGAGCTATTTTACATCACATTAAACGTTTGATTTGCGAGGTATTTGCTGATTCTATATGAAGGGCCTTGCTGTAGGCATTTGTGGTATCAGACCATATCAGATGCTGTGACTCATCTAATTTGTGCTGCTTCATAATTGATGGACGGCTGGCATGAAGCAGCTGTGGGGCAATAAAAATTAAAAATTAGCTTACAGGTTTCTCAATTCAGGATTTAGGCGCTGTATGATATATGGACAGGATCATGGAGGACATCAAAGTGAAATACAGTCTACAGTGCAATACATTTACATTTCATGTTCTTGAAAGAGAATACAAAAGCACAGGCCAAGGAACAAAATGACAAAGAAAACCTGTATTGATGACCTTCTTTCACTGTAATATATTTTAAGAGAAATTATGTCATAAAATGTAAGCTTCATTTAATTTTTTATGTTTGACATTATAAGTGGAATATACCTTTTGTAACAAAAAAAAAAAAACCTTGATGTCTTGCCAATTTAATTTCTAGGAGAAGCTTATAGTATATTGAAAGCCATCAAATGTTCGGTCGTGGGAACAATTTGAAATCCATTGTCAGTGAAGGTGAATGTTTAAGTCCATCAGGGAACCATAAACCTGCATAAGATGTAATATGTAGTGTTTAAATTTAAAAAGAAAAAAAGCAGGGCATGAAATACCGCTGCAATATATTGTAACAACAGTGCATTGCCCAGGTGGCATTAGTATGAGAAAGTTAGGACAGTAGTAATAAATCTTCAAAATGAATGCTCTGAGCAGCTTTGTTTAATAAAAACAGCAAATTATAAGGAGCAAGCATTTTAAAAAAAAAACAATTCATTGATATAAGCTACTTCATGGAGGAAATATTAAAGATGATGAGTACAATATCTTCAAACCATTGTTTCATTACCCACAGCTGTAAGCTGCTCAGCTGTTCAAACAGAATTGGATTGAATGAATTCAATCCAATGATCAGCCATCAAAGAAGCAAGACTATGATTCAATGCACCGTGTGGGTGATGAAGGGCAGATCTAAAGTTCACCTGAATTATAAAGTCCATTTGAGAGACATAAAGCAACACTTTATCACCGTCCTTTCCCTCAGACCACAGTGCTGTCCTTCAGATAATTATCTGGGATATTTTTCACCTTGCCCCTCTTTCTTGTTACACTGTCCTCAAAGATAATTATCCTTCACATATTTTTGGATTTGAATCCTACTGAGTAAAAAAGGACAGGCTAAACAGTCTAAAGAGAATATATTCATTCACTTACTAAAGCCCCATATTCAAAATCCCACAAAATTAAAGAATAGATCCATTATAAGAAACTATTAATTAAAATACCGATTTCCTAGGTGGTTAATACCAATGCAACATTTTCAGTAGTAACTGCTTAGATGTTGCTGCCATCCAAAGAATCAAAAGAGAAATCTGTGGGTGTTTTGTGAAACACTGTGTATCATATTTAAAGGTGAATGGCTAGGAGATTTAAAGAAGCAGTATCTCTTTGGGCACTGAAGGAAAAAAGTACGCCTATGAAGTAGGAAAGGGAAAAATATCTACAAAATAGCATAAAATGACCAAACTAAAGCTATGTAATCTAAAAATTGTACTTCATTACAGAGGTGAGTATATGTGGTGTGGTACTTTCCTTAATGCGCACTCTAATGTTCACATCATCCTGGGTGACATTAGTGGTTGAGAGCTTCTGTGGCAGTTCAAAGAAACTTAACAGCACATTTAAGACATACAGGAAGTGGGGAAAGACATAACAATATCATTATCAGACAACTAAATCACCTAAACAGCTTCAGTGGAATGCCTAGACCTATGTGAGCTCAAGAATGAAAGATAAATGCATTTTCCCCCCCAGAGATAATGAACCAAATATAGCACGGGCCACTTCTGCAAAATGAAAGAAAGTTCATAAAATGTATATAGTAGCGGGATAATGTTCGTAATCAGAGCAGACGTTCAACAAAACAGCATCCAAAAAAGGGAACACGTTTCTGAGTGTGTAAAGAGATAGACGCCAAGATATCGAAGACATCGAGATGAAAAGAAACTATGACTGATTTTCCAGGTTAGCTGGAGAACAAAACAAGGGCTGATTTTTGTCATCCCGAAGCAGTAAGAATTGACACACCTACAAATAAAACTCCGAAATATTATGAGAAATATATCATAGACGTCATGGGATTTTGTGCTGCTGGTACACCATGTGCAGTCATGTGATGTTTTGCAGAGGTACTATTCTAGTGCTTATAGACTTTTGCAGTATTTTGGAACATTTACCACACAACCACCAGAATGCCAGAGGAAGTTACCTCATAAACTCAGAGTACCAGCATCAGGGAGCAGTTCCCGGAGGAAAATTTTGTTGCTAACAATAGCTGTTTTCTTTTCCATTCCTCTGGTCTGGT